GCGCTGGATCTATCAGGATCCTGCTTGGGTGCAGGGTCCTGCAGGATCCTGCCAGGGTCTTGCAGGAGCCTGCAGAGCCTGACTGACCCGGGCTTGCATATTTACCCGGGACAGAAGATCCCCGAGGGTCGTCATCCAGCCCGCCAATCCCACCAGCGGTTGGCGTGGTGTGGGGGGGGGGCGGTCATGGGGCGCACAGGGCCCTGCCGCCGTGGCTTGTCTCCCCGGCCGCTCAAGTCTGCGGGGGAAGCGGGTCGCTCTGGGCCTGCCAGAGGGGGTCCGAGCAGATGGGGCCGGAGGATCGCGCCGCATCGCCGGTGCATCGGCGATGCGGCTCGATGTGGAGCCCGACTTCCTCCACGCCGACGTCGCCGATGCATCCCCCACGTCGACGATGCATCGCTGGTGGATACGGTGCGATCCTCCGATCCCATCCACTCCGACCCCATCTAGGAGGCGTCTAGTCATGGCGACAGCATCGCAGAGCAGATTTCGTTCGGAATACAATGGGATGGGCCTGGACTTTCCTGTAGAGTTTCGTTCTGGATTTCGAAGTGAATTTCGTGCGGTGAAATTCACTCTGTTTTTCGCTCGCCGTTTCGGAGTTCTGCGTTGACGGGGAGGGCGGACAAGCAAGCCGGGCGCGCTCGCGCCATGTCTGACGTCCTGCCCCTCCCACCCGTTCCTTCCCGCTGCGCCGACAGGCTCTCCGTGCGCGGACGCGTGGCACAGCGGACCTCTTGGCATCGCTCGGACGTGTGCATTTTTCCTTCGGCGAGGACCATCGAGGAGCATCCTTGATCATTTGGCGAAAAAGCCACGCGCGAAACCGAAAAAAGCACAGGGAATGGACGTCCGAGCGATGGCCAGACCTGGGGTGCCCTCAAAGGCCCCTCTCGCGCTTGCGTTCGGGCGAAATCGCCTTCCTGAACGACGAGAGCAGCGCGCCGATCCTAAAGTGAGGCCACCGCTGCAGCGGGAACACCACTGGGAAGCACCGAAAGCAGTCGGATGGCAAAACCACATCGGAACACCTGGTTTGAAATCCTGTGTGGGCTGAACATCTCTGGACAGTGCCAGGGGAGAGAGGATTGTGGAGAGGGTGGGGAAGCGGATAGGAAGGGGAAGGTGAGAGGAGGGGGAATCATGATACCCTTTCGGCTCTAGCAGGAAATCGGGGAGAGGAGGTGAGAAGGGGAGAGGAAGGGGGACAGGGCATAGGAGAGGGGGCAGGGGGAGAGGAGGATGGGCAGGGGGAGAGGAGGGGGGACAGGGGAAGAGGAGGGACGTGGAGAGGATGGGGGGCAGGGGGCGAGGAGGGGGGACGGGACGAGGAGGGACGGGGGAGAGGGAGAGGCCTTGTCCCTCCTGCTGCTGCTCCTGCTCCTGCTGCAGCTCCCGTTCCTCTTCCTGTTCCTTCTGCTGCCGCGCCTCCTCCCCCTCTCTCCCCTCGTAGCCACCCGTCGTCCGTCCTCTCGAAGCCGCCTCCCCTGCCTGAGGCTTTGCTAGGGCCCGGGGCCCCGCTCTGCTCCAGTTGGCTAGATGCTTCCGCCCATCCCCAGAGGGGACCAGGAAGCGCTTGGAGGTGGGACCAAGAGCCCCCCTGCGCGGCCCCCCCCCCTTGTGCGGCGTAGGAGGGGGCGGATAAGAAGGATAATGCGGAGGACATGCATGGGGGGAGGAGGAGGAGGAGGAGGAGGAGGAGGAGGAGGAGGATGAGGAGGAAGAGGATGGGCAAGAGGAGGATGAGGAGCAGGAGGAGGAGGAAGAGGAGGGGGGAGGCGGAGGAGGAGGAGGAGAGGAGGAGGAGGAGGAGGAGGAGGAGAGGCGGAGGCGGAGGCGGAGGAGGAGGAGGGAGGAGGAGGAGGAGGAGGAGGAGGAGGAGGAGGAGGAGAGGAGGAGGAGGAGGAGGAGGAGGAGGGGGTGTGGGAGGAGGAGGAGGCGGAGGAGGAGGAGGAGGAGGAGGAGGACGAGGCGTATGAGGAGGAGGAGAAGGAGGAGGAGGGGGAGGAGGAGGGGGAGGAGGCGGAAGAGGAGGAATAGTAATATCAACAGTAGCAATCATAAACATACTAACAATAAAAGGATGATGATGGTGAGGAGGAGGTTAGACTACTAAACCTAACAATATTAATCCATCGAGTATTAATGATACTACTAAGACTAACACGAGTGTGACTAATACGAGCAGGACGAATGCTGATACTAATGCTAGGCGTCGTACTCATAAAATAATAGCACTGTCATTAACCATACTAATGTTAGTAATACTAATATAGCTAACCATCATATTAATACGAAATATGCTACTATCATGAATACTCATCATCATACCAAAACTGATGACACGAATAGCAACATTATAATGATTATGCGACTACTGCTTTTAATACTACTACGACAACTCAGAATAAAAAGAAGCGGAGGAGGCAGCGGAGGAATAGGAGGAGGACGGGGAGGAGGATGAGGAGACGGAATAGGAGGAGGGGGGGAGGAGGATGAGGAGGAGGAGGAGGAGGAGGAGGAGGAGGAGGAAGAAGACGAAT